AGAGAGCATGAGTTGTTTATGGCAGGCATGAGGTAAGTTTTGAAGCCTAGCTTCAGACCACAGGAAGATGACTTAAACTCCTGGGCCTCAGTTTCTTCACCTGTTAAGGTGGGCTTCTGAGTGGAATCGGGCTGAACGCTGTTTGTGTTCTGCACTGAAGGAGGGCTACATGCAGAGTAGGGGCTGCCCAAAGGTGGGTGTACGTGCTTGGGGGTGTGGCTTGGTACCTCTCAGGTGTGGATGCCCTTGGCACATGGAGAAATCATGGCACAGTTATTGTTTGTTGGTCAGTAGTCGGCAGGTGCTCAAAGAGAACCTTTGAAGAGGTTAGGGGACAGCTTTGATGGAGAGGTTTCTGACAGAAGCCTCTGCCTCTTCTTCAGCTATGCCTACTTTATCTATAACACACACTGTGCAGGATGACTTAGTTATAGACGTGTGTGTGTGTGTGTGTGTGTGTGTGTGTGTGTGTGTGAATATGCCCGTGCATATTCACCTCCGTGTGGAGGTCAGAGGTCAACATCAGATGTCTTTCTCTATTGCTCTCCACCTTATGCTTTGAGTCAGGATCTCTCATTGAACTCTAGAGTTCACTGATTGGCTAGGCTGGCTGCCAGCAAGCCCCTAGGACTCTCCTGTGTCTTTTCCCCAGTGTCACGACTACAGGCACATGTTACTACGCTGTTTTTTGTTTGTTTTGTTTTCTTGCATAGATGCTGGGGAGTCTAAACTCAGTTTCTCATGTCTGCACAGCAAGGACTTTACTCTCTGAGCCATCTGAGCCATCTTTCCAACCAGCAGTTGGACACTTACTCAGTCATTTAAGTAGGCACTGAGCGCTGTCATATATATGCTAAGCACCATTCTAGGTAGTGGAGAAAACAAGGCAGACACAGTTCTTATGCATGTGGAGCACAGAGGTTAGCGGCCAGAGTGGCCTGATAGCAATATTAATGACAAGAATAACGACTTGCATTTAAAAGGCACATTATAATGTGTCGCAGTCTGGGCTTTGTGTTTCACACACGGCACTTTACTGAATCTTCACAGCATACCTATTGGGTTAATATTAATCTCCTCACTTGAGAGTTGAAGTGCCTGTGTTAATTAGGGTTTTATTGCTGTGGGTAGACGCCATGACCACAGTAACTCTTACAAAGGAAAACTTTGTAATTTAGTTGGGGCTGGCTTACAGTTCAGAGATTTAGTCCATTAGCATCATGGAGGGAAGCATGGCAGCATGTAGGCAGACATGGTGCTGGAGAGTCCTACTTCCTACTTCCTGATCCACAGGCATCAGGAAGAGAGAGTGAGACACTGGGCCGGGCTTGAGCGTCTGAGACATCAAAGCCCAGTGACACACTTCCTTCTCCAGCAAAGCCATACCTATTCCAATGAGACCACACCTCCTATTAGTGCCTATAGGAACCATTTTCATTCAAGCCACAGTGCCTAAAGCTTGGAGAGAGTATGCAGTTTTTTTCCTGGTCACAGAGCCAGTGAGTGGTGACCAAGAAACTTGAACCCAGATCCATCTGTTTTCACAGCCTCACTATGGCCTTTTTTTCAGAAGGAACTTCAGAGATAGGAGCCTGGGAAGGTCTTCCTGGAACCTTCCACAGGAAGGAATACGAGTGAGGGGACGAGGAGAGCAAGTCCTGAAAGCCCCTCTGCAGTCCACAGTATGTGAAGACCCCTTACTGCTGTAGATGGCAGGGACACTGGCCATGATGAGCAGCAGTAAGTCTCAGCTCAGCATGTAGGTGACAGTGACTGCGAGAAAGGGCTGGCTGAGGGCTTGCCTGGGCAACCGCCTGAGCTGGTGTTGTGACATCTTTACTGTCTAATTAATAGAGTCCTCAGACAGCAGACATAAGAGGCAGCTCCGAGGTTAAGGGCCTAGGGACCAGGAGAAATAAATCGGCTTCTCCAGGGGAAGTGTGGATCCCAGACAAGGTGCCTGCCTCATAGTCCACTGAGGGTATATGAAACAGGCAGGCCTGAGTGTTCCTGGAGCCTGCTGGGGACAAAATGCATAGTCTGGGGGAAGGGCCAGCTATGTCCCCCTCACCCACTGGCTTGCAGAAGTAGATCTGAGAGCCATCCCTTGACAAAGTAGTGACCTCATTGAGAAGGGCCTGAGGGTTGAGGCTCCAGGCACCTCTCTGGCTTTAACAAAGTGACACCAGTAGGGGACAGGAATCCCAGGATACCAGTTCTGCAGCTGGCTCCTTGCATCAGCTGTGATCCCCTCAAAATGATATCCCAGGACTTCTTGATAGGGCTTTGTGGTCCAGAGAGCTGCTAGGCTGGATGGAAGAAGGCTCTGAGCCAGCAGTCTGTGAGTGAAGATGGGAGAGTAAGTACAAACTTGGAAGGCTGGTACGCTGAGGAGTGATACCAAAGACCTGTCAGGACCCTCGTGAGATGCTTGCTGGCCTCTGCTTGGCCTCTGTGCACCAATAGATAATAGGACAATACACAGAAGGAACTGCATACCCACCTGAGTTTGGAGAGGCTGGAGAGGGTCATCCGGAGGGGTCTGCTCATGGGTAAGCCAGCAGCTGGGCTACACTCACAGGAGCGGGGGTCTCGCCTGAGCCCATGTAGACCGAGAGCACAAGGCTGTGCTCCACTTCCATTTTCCAGGCCTCCTATGCCTGCCTCTCTGTGGCCACCCTAACCAGAACCTCATGGCAAAAGGAACCCTGGGAAATGTAGTTTTAGCCTTGCTTAATGAACCATGGTGATGTAGCCAAGTCCTAGACTTGTGAGTCTCAGTACCTGCGTTTATAAGGTGAGAATGGAGTCTGCAGCAAGTCCTATTTCAGTGCTAAGGACAAAACAACAAAACCAAAACCTCATCAAGGCACAGTGCTGTGCACCTATAGTCCCGGCACTGAGGAAGCAGAGGCAGAAAGATCACCGAAAATTTGAGACCAAACTGATTTACATAACAAAGTTGAGGCAAGCAAGGGATATATATACATACATACATACATACATACATACATACATACATACATGTGGCTTGCCTTATAAAAATTATTATTACTATTATTAATTTATTTTGGTTTATTGAGACAGGCTTTCTCTATGTAGCCTTGGCTGGCCAGGACTCACTTTGCAAACCAGGCTGGCCTCGAACTCACAGAGATCCGTGTGCCTCTCCCTCCCTGAGTGCTGGGATTAAGGGCATGTGCCACCACACCCGGTTAAAAATTATGTTTTTTTATAAAAGTTTTTATACTATAAAAATAATTATAAATAATAATAAATTAAAATAACAACAAAAAGCAAGTCAAAACAAGAAAAAAAAAACAAATAAAAAGCTAAAACCAAAAAAAGCAGCTTGTCACAGGGACAAAAGAACTCAAAAAGGAACACAAATTTAAAAAAAAATAAAATAAAAAAGAGGCAAATAGCCCCAGTGACCTCCCTCTTCTCCCTTTTGTATGCAAATAGTGGACACATGGTCTCCTTGAAATAAACCTGCCAGTGCCCAGAGGCCCCAGGACCACCACATGGATGTTGTCAGGGCTGGGACAGGGCTCAGTGTGCTCAGCAGGCTCTCTAGCACAAGGTCAGCTTTTCGCAAACTGCTGCCTGTCTGAGGTCAGGAAGATGACTGACCAAGGGTCTCTTCCTCTGGGGGCTGTCTAGACTGTGAGGGGACAAGCTGGTTAATAGTATGGAGACCTGGGGAGGAAGGGGGACGGATTCTGCTGAGAATCTCTTTCTGAGGGATGAACCTAGACGGTGGGGAAGGACATCCAGAGAGAGAGGGGGGCAGTGATGCTGCAGGGTACATTTGGGTCCTGGGAGGGGGAAGGCACAGTGTCGAGGGCAAGTCAGGGAGGGTTGTGGCAAAGCCTTAGCTTGCTGGGATAGCTAACAGCGGGGCTCAATTTGCAAAACTGGGGGAACAACCAAATGGGGGTCTCTGCAGTGGGTGTTCCTCTAAGTGCTTCTGGGGGTTCCTCGCGGGTTACTGTCCTTGTTTTCTGTCTACGCTGCATACTGTCCTTGTTTTCTGTCTTCTGAGCCTGCCTGAAGAGCTTGCAACATTCACTGCCCTTTGCTTGTTCTTGTGCTCCAGGTTGCCCCTCTCTGATTAGCTCTGCTCAGGGAAGAGTTCCCTGGTCTGGGGCTGTCAGATGAGGCAGGCTTTACCAGTGGATAGGACCATTTAGAGGCATTTCCAGGTAGCTACAGCACACTGGATGTCCCACACAAATCAGCCAAAGCTGCAGTTTCCCTACTCTCCATAAGTAAAGAGCTAAAACTTGGTCCCGAAAACCCATCAGCCAAACCTCCCTCTATCTTCTGTCACACTGTTAAGATTTTCCTCTTCCCGGAACTCTGTGCCCATTCCCATCTCTCCCAAGTCCTTTGTAAACTCTAAATTCTAAGCTCCATTCAATCCTTTCTTATCGCTGGTATCCCTTTCCAGGCATGCCCTAGGGTGAGGCCCATAATATCCCAAACAGGCTTATCAAGTTGGTGCCCTTTTCCCTTTGTGAAGGCTGTTGTGTATCCCCTCCTCTGAATTGAAGCATTCAGGAGGGACTCTCCCAAGACCCAGGAAATCCCTGAAACTTACACGATCAGCAAGACCTGGCTCCAACTTTATAAAACTTAAAGAGAAATTGCTGTAGGGAGGAGGCTCTGGGCAGAACTTCTTACATGTTATGGAAGGAATGCTAGAAATAGTTTTCATAAGTCAGGGAGGCCTAGACTGGCACAGGCTTTCTAGTGATACCTTGAGTCAGCCATGCTCTTGGACATGACTCCTCATCTATGTTCCTTTAATGTGTTTAACCCCATGAACACATTGGCTCACTAAGCAGACTTTGGTGTGGTTGTTTCTTTGGTTGGTTCCTAGTGCATCATGTAAGGTGAATTTGCACAGCTCTCCACAGGAAAAGGATCACACACACACACACACACACACACACACACACACACACACACAGAAAATCTCTTCAATATAGAACATATTCATTCAGATTTGTTTATTTTTCCTGCTACACAAGTTGAAGTTACCAGATAGGTCTGTGGTTATTCAATGTAATACTTACAACAATACAGAAAATTCTGACAGGTCCCATATTGAGACTTTGTGTTGTCAGTGCTGGGAGTTCTGTGCACACAATGATCACACGCATCTGGATATGTACATGGTGGCAAAGTCACTTGGCTGTGACAAACACCGCCTATAGCCTAATTCCCAGCAGTAGAAGAAGTGAAACAACCTTCAGACTATGTTCAGATGATATACTTGTCTGGGCCTTTATATGTGCTGACCTAGAAGGATATTCACAACATAGTTAAATGAAAAAGAAATTGCAAATGAATTATGCATGTTTGTGTACACACACACACACACACACACACACGCACACACACACAGATGCACACAGGTTTTTGTTTTTTTTTGTTTTTGTTTTTTTTTTTTTTTGAGACAAGGTTTCTACATAGTCCTGGCTGTCTTGGAACTCCCTATGTAGATCAGCCTGACCTCAAACTCACAGAGATCTAACTGCCTCTGTTTCCTGAGCGCTGGGATTAAAGGCGTGTGCACCAGGCCTGCCTCATCTATACCTTTCCCCCCTACCCCCTTCAGGTCAGGTCGTCATTGTAACTCCGACTGCATTTAAATTCAAAATCTTAGCCGGGCTTGGTGGCACACACCCACCGGCACTCGTTGAGGCAGAGGTTGGTGGATTCTGCGAGTTCGAGGGAAGCCTGGTCTATAAAGGGAGCCCAGGACAGCCAAGGCTACACAGAGAAACCTTGTCTCAGAAAACAAAAACAAAACAAAACAAAAAAATTCAAGGTCTTCTTCTAAAAAATGTTTAGCATGGAACGCAGAGTACAAATAGAGAAGTGCTTACACACGGTGGTCGGTGGTCGGCGAAGCAGGACTGTGAGAGGAGCATCCTGGGAGAAGAGACCGGAAGCTATAGAAGGGCGCCCAGGGAGAAGTCTCTCACCTCTTCTGGAAGGCTGGGGCATCCGAATTCCTCCTCCTCCTACCTCCTTCATTCCCCCCCCCCCCCCCAGCCCACCTTCCCATCATTTAGAAGTGGCAGCGGGTATCAACTATTTAATTATTTTCAAATAGTTGAGCCTGGATCTGGATTGAATAAATCAAATTGATGCCAATTTCCAGGGAAGTCCTTTCATATTTTATGATTCACTCCCCACCTTTCCCCTGCCTGCCTTGTGCTCCTGTTAATGAACCAGGAGACTGCAAACGCTGCTCGGAAGTCCCCACTGCTAAACCCCACGTGGAGATGAGGCTGCAGAAAGCGCTGTAGTTCTGGGCTTTTTTTCCCTTTCCCTCTCCACCATCCTGGGGAAATTGATATGCAGGCAGGATTATGCTTTGTTTAAAGCTCAGCCCCGGCTTCTGAAAGAATACATTATCCAAATCCGCGCATGCGGTTGAAATTCTGCAAAACTCGCTCATGTCACTTGTGGCTTGCCAATGAGATGTCCAGCCAGGTCTCCGGCAGCACAAATGCCCTGGAAGAGAGAGAATAACCTCGGAAACCCACCCAGGAGGCGCACTGCAGGAGTCAATCATCTACCGGGCTGCAGATGGAAGGCTGGCTGGGCTGAGCACCTCTGCTACCACGATGACCACTGATGGGCCACCAACGCCCAGTCGGGGGACTGACTCTGCTTCCATCTTCCTTCCCGCCCCTTTAAAATTAAGATTTGTTTAAAGGACAGACTGAATGAGAACACATAGCCCCTAATGCCCCCCGCGCCCCGTAACCCATTTCTTTCTTTTTGTGAAATGTTTGTTAAAAGAATCAGTTCCATTTTGGAATGTGGAGTTGTGGAAGGAAAGAAAGCCATCCAGGCTTAGCCAAGTGGCTTCCAGCATCTCCCTGCGTCTTGAATCTTGTCTGTCAGGAGGGCACCCAGGGATGCACTCACTGGTGACAATCTGGGGCCACTGAGGTTTGTCCCGCTTGCTCTCTAAATGTTAGAGTTTTAATGATTTAGGAACCAAAAGAATAACTAAGGAGCCCAGTAGTCATTATCTCAAATAATGAGACTTTTTAATGCAAAATCAATGTTTGTTATAATGAAAATAGATTCCTTGGCTCCTGCAGGGCCAAATGTACAAATCTTTTTTTCTGCTGTTAAATAAAATGTGACGGCTCATTTTCAGGGTGGTGGTGAGCATTTTTATTCAAGAGAAAAAAAAATAAAATGTCAGAACTTATTTACTTTTATTAAGTGCTCATTCGCAATCAGACGCTCTGATCAATATCTAATTGGAGGTGAGGAAACGGAAAATCATTTTCATGCCAACTTGAGAGGAAGGAAAGAAGGAAAGAAGGAAGGGAAAGAGGAGGAAAAGAAGGAAGAGGAAGCCGCTTAGCATATTTTTAGCTATGACGGCAAATATCCGTCAGGTGGGCGCTTCTTGTCCAGACTGAGCGCTGGATCCACCTTGTGTCACCCACAACACAGAAATCTGCTACGTAGCGACGCTGTGAGGTCAGCATTTAAGCGGCCTCTTGGCAGGTGACAAAACTGAGCCTTTTAGAAGATAATAATTACCAGTTTCTGGCAATACAACGCTAAGTCTGTCTGACCACCCGGTCCTTTCTCTTGACTCTATCCATCGCCACCCACGTTCAACGTTTGCTTACATAAATATCACAGAGTTCGTGTGGCATTCAGTGTTCGCCAGTTCTCTCCTTCCCTCATGTGGCCCTTGGGGATGACTTGGTGGCAGGTGGCTTCGCTGAGTCCTCTTGCAGATGTTTTGTTAGCTTGGTTTTGTTTCATGTGTTTGGCCTTTTGAAGTGGGGCCTTGTGCTTACCCAGGGTCACTTCAAACTTGAAATCCACCTGCCTCAGTAGCCAGAGATTACATGCCCAGCATTTATGCTTTCTTTGAATTAGTTTGTGTCGTGTGTGTGTGTGTGTGTGTGTGTGTGTGTGTGTGTGTGTGCTTCCCTGTAAAAGTCAGTTCTTGCTTTTCACATTGTTGAGATCGGGTGTCTCTATTTCTGCTGAGGTACAGTGTACTCCAGGTAAGCTGACCTATGACCTTCTGGCTGATTCTCCTATCTCTACCTCCTATCTTCCATCTTCATCTTCCAAGCTTCCTCCCCATAGGAGTGCTAGGATTACAGATGTGCACAGCTCACTGGCTTTTTGGCCCTTTACCTGTGCTCTGGGGATGGAGCTCAGGTCGTCAGGTTTATTATTTACTGAGCCATCTCTCTGGTTCTCTTCTATGTTTTAATAAGTCATGAAGCAAGCTTTACCAGCAGCAAAAATTCTACTCTTTTTGTTTATTTGGTCTGTTTTTCTGAGACAAGTGCTCAGGTAGTCCAGGCTAGCCTCAAACCAAGTAGGAATCTAGGATGACTTTGAGCTCCTGAGCCTCTTGCCTCCTCCTCCCAAGTGCTGACATTATAGGCGTGTACCACCATGCCTGGATTAAATGTTTTATTCTTATTATTAGCATCAAAACTATAATCCTTAACTAGTTTTAGAGGGTAAGAACCTCTTCAAATATATTATATACTTTTGGTTGTGGCAAACAAAAACACACACATATACACACCAACTTGCCACAGTCTGACTACATTTTTTTTTTAACATTACAATGTTGCCAGAGTGCTACAAAATCAGTATAAATCTTACTTTGGGTTTTGCATTGATGCCTTTTCCTAAACTGGTGGCACATAGTTACTTATCCAGTCATGATACAGGGCAGAGGCAGGGGCTCTTCAGTTCCTTATTGCCACTTGGGAAGATGGAAAGATCACTCCTATTCTTCCGTGTGCTGTAGTCTATGATGCTCAGTAGGTTGTGTTAAATATGGTGATGATGCATGTTCTGGCTTGCTTCCTGCTGCTGTGGTAAAACATCCTGAGCAAAAACAACCTGGGGAGGAAAGGGTTTATCTCAACTTACCGGCTACAGGCCATCACTGAAGTCAAGGCGAGGAGCTCAAGGCAGACACAGAAGCCATGGAGGAACGCTGCTTGCTGGCTTGCTCACTCTCCTTATTCAGCCTGCTTTCTTACACAGCCAGGACCACCTACCTAAGGATGGCACCGCCTACAACCTGGACCCTCCTGTATCAATCCTTAGTCAAGAAAATACTCTGTAGAAATGTCCACAGGCCAATCTGATGGAGGCAAATAGTGGAGGAGACTCTAGTTTGTATCAAGTTGACAAAAATTAACCAGCACATTTCGCAACATTCCCAGTTAATGTGTGACACCTCTCTACATGGAAGTTCTGTTTTTAGACCCTGATGTGATAGATCTGAGATGTAAGAGGAAAAGACCAAATGTTAGAAGTGAGTTAAAATTGCTGGCCACTGAGTGCCTTGGGCAAGCCTCCCACATGCTCTCTGAGAGAGTGGATCTTGTGCTGATATTTTATGGCTCTGCATAGTCTTGGGTGTCCTGGAACACGCTTGTAGACCAGGCTGGCCTTGAACTCACAGAGAATCCTCCTACCTCTGTCTCCCGAGCGCTGGGATTAAAGGTGTGTGCTACCATGCGAGCATGAACAGTGTGTGCACATGGAGGCCAGGGGACAGCTCTGGGTGTTGTTTCTCAGGGAATATCCACTTATTTCTTAAGACAGCGTCTTTCATGGGCCTGGGGCAAGTCCTGTCCTCACTCTCCCAGTGCTGGAGTTACAAATGCATGCCACCATGCTACCATTTTCATGTGGGTTCTGGGTCTTGAACTCAAGTCTTCATGTTTGCAAGACAAATCGTTGTCTGACTGAGCTATCTCCCAGTCCCAGAAGAACCTTTGGAACACCAGGGTTATCTGGCCAATGGCCAAATTGCCTCAGGAAGGCCAGACCCCCCTCCCTGGGGGTGTTCACACGACCTGCTAAGGAAGTGACATAAATAATAAAGGTTCAGATCAACCACCTTCAGGTAGGTCAGTAGATTTCATACACCAGACCAGTACTAGCTAGTTTTATGTCAGCTTGACACAAGCTAAAGTCGTTAGAGAGGAAGGAGCCTAAATTGAGAAAATGCCTCCATAAGATCCAGCTGTAGGGTATTTTCTTAATTAGTGATTGATCGGGAAGGGCCCGGCCTGCTGTGGATGGCGCCTGGGTTCTATAAGAAAGCAGGCTGAGCAAGCCACAAGGAGCAAGCCAGTAACAGCACCCCTCCATGGCCTCTGCATCAGCTCCTGCCTCCGGGTTCCTGCCCTGTTTGAGTCTTGCCTGGCCTAACTGCAATAAATTCTTTCCTCCTCAAGCTGCCTTGGTCAAGGTGTTCCATCACAACAAATAGAAACCCTAGCTAAGAGGACACCGTCCCACCTCTTGGCACCCCGTGAGGTCATTGTTGACATTTGCGTTTAACAGGGAAAGAAACCCAAGCTTTGATTTATGAAGCAGCTTACCTACATAAGTAAACAACGAAGCTCTATTTGGCACCAGGAAGCCTAAATCTAAATCCCAGGTGTTAATCCTGTTTACTACATCTGCTGTGTCAGCAAGCACCATTAACTTTCACCTGCAAACCTCACCTCAAAGCCAGTTCCCTGCTGCCTCCGTGACCGAAACTCTTCCGAGAACCTGTGAGCTAGTTTCCCCCGCGTTTCTTCTTGCTTCTCTACCACTGTGCACCCCAAGTTCCTTCTAAAAAATAGTAATCTGTGATTTGTTTTGTTTTGTTTTTCTTGAGACAAGGGTCCTCTCTGTAGCCTTGGCTGTCCGGACTTGCCTCTCTTGTGTGATTAAAAAAAAAAAAAAAAAAAACAAAACAAACCATCAGATCCATTGAGATACAATTTATATACAATAAAATTCTCAGATTTTTAAATGTACAATTCAAGGAGTTTTGACAGATACAAACAGTCAAGTTCACACATTCAAAATATAGATTGTCTCCACAGGGGTGTGTGTGTGTGTGTGTTTGTATGTGTGTTTAATAAACTTCAAATCAAATCCTGTCACTCTTCATGTTCAAAGGGTTCCCGTCTCTCTTAAGTGGCAGTCAACATATCTCTACAGTGTCTCTCGGGGTCACGACAAAAGAAAGGCTGTTGTGGGTTTGCAAAATGGTTTCATTTTTTTTTTTCCCTTGGTCTCGAAGGAAGACTCTATTTGTAGTCCTTGCATATAGGGAGGAACATGTGACTAGTTCTGGACCTTGGAAGTGGGTAGCAGTGATTTCTACACCTTTCAGACCCGGGTCTATATCCTTAGAAAAATGCCTGGTGTTTCTTTTCTGCTTGATTCAAAGTTCCCAGGAGGCATGCCCAAGCCTGAAGGATCTTAGAGCGACTTAGAGGTGGACCAGTAGGGTGAGAGAGGTAGACATCCTTGAACCCTTAGGAATTCTGAGATTTTAGAGAAATTGTAACACAGCAGCTAGTGTCATGCCTGCATGTGTAACTGTGTGAGGGTGTCAGATCTTTGAATTACAGACAACTGTGAGCTGCCGTGTGGGTGCTGGAAACCGAACCAGGTCCTCTTGAAGAGCACTCAGTGCTCTTAACTGCTGAGCCATCCCTTCAGCCCCAGCAGCTAATGTTAAAACCTGGCCAGTGTGAAGTCCCTTTCCACCCTGGCCGTAGCTTGGCCCTCATCCCCCACTACCCCACCCTACACAGTTCACAACAGCCACACCCCTCTCCTTGCTCTTCAATTGTCCAGGTGTGGCCGTGCCCCGTGGCCACTGTGCTTGGTGCTGTGACAAGTTCAGTCTGGGTTCCTCCATGCCCCAAGATTTCCCTGTTCTAATTCCTGAATGTTACCTAAGACCACAGAAGGTATGATGAAGTTAAGGATTCTGAGATGGGGACACGGTTCCGGATTAGCCGAGTGGGTCAATGACACCACAAGTATGTTCATAAGAAAGAGGAAGAGGGAGATTTAACAACAGAAGAGAAGGCGTGTGGCACTGGAGACTAACGTCACAGTACAGCCAAGAGCCAAGGAAAATCATATGGGAGGTGTGGCTTCCCCTTGGGGTCAGGATGAACCAGATGGCTGACACCTGGATTTTACCCCTGAGAGAGTCTTCAAACAGCAAGGGCGCTGTTTGAAGCCACTGCATTTGGGTTCATTTCTTCATAGCAGCAACATGAAATTCATCGAGTGCTACTTTTGCTCCTCTGCTGAATAACTGGGCAGCTTCCCCTTCCCTCCTTTATGGCTTTGTGTGTTTGTCACTGTCTTAATGAGGCTTTCTCTAAGTGCCCAATTTAGGAGAGAATGCTGGGCTCCTCCTCCCTTGTCTCTGTCTTTTCTAGTCTCTAGAGATCTTGCTAACCACTGGGCATACCAAATGCTCCATGAGTTCATTTCACTCACGTCCTCTCCTCATTTGAATGCCTGTTCCAATAACACAGGCTCCTTACCAGCTCTGTCTGCGGCACCAGCTCCTAGATCAATGCCCAGCATGTGAGTACTTACTGCAGTAAGCATTTGTTGAGTGAATATGTAAATGGGTAGATGGCTGAGAGGGCCTTGGGTGGGAAACACTTGGGCTTCCAGGGCCCATTAGGTACTCTTGACATTTGAAGAAGCCTGGGGTCTGATGCTCTTTTCTGGGTATGGATCTAGAAATGGCAGTTGGGTGAGATTGGAGGCCTGGTGGTCTCAGCTCCAAAGGGCTTTTCACTTGAGTCAGAAGGTCAGCCTTGGTTTGTCTTAGTTACTGTTCTACCACGACCATGACCAAGGCAACTTATGGTCCCAGAGGGTTAGAGTCCATGGTCCTTACAGTGGGGAACATGGCAGCAGTCAGGCATGGTACTGCAGCAGTAGCTGAGGACTTATTTCTTGAGATAACCACTGAGAGAGAGAGAGAGAGACACAGGGAAAGACAGAGAGAGGGAGGGAGGGAGGAAAGAAGGGAGAGAAAGAGAGAGAGCACCAACTGGGAACGGCCTGGGCTTTTAAAACCTCAGCCCACTCGCAGTGACACACATCCTCCAACAAGATCCTACCTCCTAATTCTCAGACTGTTCCACCCGCTGGAAACGAGCATTCAAACATATGAGCCTACAAGGGCTCTTCTCGTTCAAACTACCACATGGTTACAGATGGAGATATGCAGAGTGAACTTCAGGCTTCCGGAAGGCCTGGCTGGGAGCTGAGAGGAGAGCAGGCCACTCTCGGGAGAGGGTCATTTGGATGGGCTGGGAAGGATGTGGACTGAGGGCTGATAGCACAAGGCTATCAGGCAGAAGCCAGTGGTGGAAAGGGGCAGAGTTGAACATTCTGGGGTGTGTGTCCCTTCCACAGAAATAGAGACTGTGTTAATTATGAGGTACAGACTGGCAAGGTTGGCGGGTGCCGGATGACAAGAGACCTGGGAGGTCTCCAAGCGGACTCCATGGCAGAAAGTGGACAGAAGGATTACAGGAGAAGCACAGAAAACAGGGAACTTGTAAACTGACCTCAGACAGACTCTCCAACTCAGCAGGGCCCCCTCAGTGTGCACCTGTGCAGGCTCATGCTCTGGGTAAGCCCTCAGAGTTAGCTAGTTCTAGCCCTTGAAGGTTTTTACAGCTCACCAGTCTTTGGCCAACACATCACTATGACTTTTGTCTCTCCCTCCCTGAAGTGGTGGTTGGACTCCTGAGGATTTCAAGCATCCAAATGAGGAAACTGCTTTGGAGTGACAAAGTAGCTAAGGAATATGACCCGTGGAAACAGGATGGGTCCTTCAGGGATTGCGGTCTGGTTGGCAGCTCAGACAGACTCAGCATGACCAAGTTTCCCATTGATGGATTCACTGCCCACCCGGCATATGCTAGGTTTCGGGCACTGTGTGAAGGGGTTGGCCCTCTGAGCATGACTTTAATCTCTAGAATCGCTGAGCAATGCCACAGACCTCCCATTTTCCAGATGAGGAGTGTGTCACCCAGAAAGGTCACAAGGCCAGTGAGTGATAGTGTCTGGACTGGAAGCCAGACTTCTGATTCCAAAGTTCAGGTTCCTCACTGCTTTGTGATGTTCCGCTCTGCACAGGCTCCTTCATGTGGGCCCCATGAACACCAAAGGAATCATGGGTGAATACAGGGGCTTGGGAATTGGAACAGGCAAAACAGCAGTGTCTACCCTACCTTTCAGCTGTCTCTACCCTGAGCGCAGCACTCCCTTGTATTACGAGTGCGGGCAATAGGCACTGCCATAGGGG